CAACAACAACAGCCGGCTGACCAAATGGCCGACAATTTGGGTTAACTGCAAATTTGAGCAAAGGACAAACGGCAAACGGCAAACGGCAAACGTGCAAGTTTTAACTAAAATGTGTAGAAGAAAATGTGATTCTTCGAGTTGTCGCCGAGACAGCTCTGCGGGGCCCATAAAATTCACTGGGGCGTAAAGGATGCGATGCCTTTTAATAATAAAATGGTCGAATAGAAAAAGAACTACGCACTCGCTGCATAAACTAAAACTAAAGCCTCTTGGCTATGCCCAGGCACGTCTTAAATGTTCAAATTATGTAAAATAAAATGTGCGCCAAAAGGATAAACGACTAGGCTGACGTCAGCCAGTGAGTGACAGGCGAACGGGAGGACGGACGGGCGGGCGGACGGGCGGGCAGACGAAGGGATAGACAGTCAGACAGACGGCTTACTCAAACACTCGACAATCCTTGCAAGGTGCAAAAAAGCTGCCACTGAGGCCGCTTAAAGTGCCAACGTCCATTTGCATGTCCTTTGCCAGCGTGTCCTGGATAATAACCGTGAGTAAGCGAACAGGTGCCGTTCGCTCTCAGTGCCGTCAGCGACCGTTGTGATCAATCTTGCTAAGCTTTTGTTTTCACTGGCTTTTTTGTTTATGAACAGCAAAAGGGCAGTGCCGACGCCTTAGAAGTGCCAATGGCATTCGCAGCGACAGCTTTCAGCAGCAGCAGCAGCACAGACATTGAGACATCCTGTGACAGGCAACAACAAAGCAAACTGGGACGAGTCCTTTTTGGCGTCTTCGTCTATGATTGATTAGCAATTAATTAGCTACACAAATAACTGTAATTATATGCCAACGAGAACAATGTCAGGCCCTTGCGTCAGGCGCTCTTGAGCTCAACCCCAGATACGAAAACAACAGCCCCAACGACCCAAGACTCTAAATGACACTTTTTAATATCCTTTATTAGAAATGCGTAGAGTATTTTGGGTAAATATTTGCTACAGATTTTACTTTGGGGTATATGCGTCTTGGGTTTTTTTCTTGCCTCAGACAAAGTTTAATATTTATTTGGAAAAACATTGGCATTGGAGACTGCGAACCTTCCTCTCAGTTAAAGTTGCATTTGCCTTTTCTAGGGTATCTTAGGGTCTGGTGAAAGCTATCTTTCCAAACTGCTTCCACTTTTTATGCATTGCCATTGAAAATTATGTACTTGCGAAAAAGTTGTTGCTGTTTTTTTATATTTTTGGGCTCTGCTCCACCTTTTTGTTTCGCTGTAGTTGTGCAGCCGCGTCTCATCGTTAGCTAATTTGCATTTGGCTGTTGTCGTTTTATGTGCTTATGAAACGAATTTGTTCTTACTGTGGCTTGAGCGAGTGCCATTGGTTTTTACGATGCAAATGCCAACCAATATATATAGCCTAATGACAGTGTATTGTCAGTCCACGTATTCGTCACAGTCAAAGGGAAGGAAATAGATAGAGCTCAGTGTAGACCCAGCGCAGTCACCCCTAATTGAGCGGCAAGTTGCCTATCAAAATTTGAATGTGGGCCGGCAAGTTAGCTGCGAGTGAAACGGTCGAGCAGTGCATTGCTTTAAGCCATGTTTCACTGGCCAAGACGTTGCCTTGTGACTGTGACACTTGGACAGCTTTTGGCCGGCCAACAATGCATGACTGACCCTGTCAATAGTCTTGTCTTGGGTCTGCTCTACCCTAATCCATTTAGTGCATATGCAATATTTAATGCATGCCACATGGATCGCAAAAGTGCGTCCAATTCCACAGTATTGTCAGCCCTGTCAGCAGCAGACCGGCTAGCCCGGGGGCTCATGTGCCTGCGGCGGCATTGTTTCGAGCTACACAGCCAAGACCCAGCGACCCCGTCGATACCCTCTTTAAGCAGTCGAGTTGCATGTGCATTTTGCTGACATTGAGTGCTCCGACAGGCGACGTGTGCGAGGACGTCGACAATGTCGTCCTCGGAATTGGTGGCTCTTTATGGCTGAAAGCTTTTGTCGCTGGTGCTGCTGCTGCTGCTGCTGCTGCTGCTGCCGTGGCACTAAACATGTCTCTTTCGACCCGTTGGCGCGACTCCAAAATATAACTTAAGTTTCTGGTCAAATGAATTTGGCAAAGGTAGTCGCAGGCCCAAAGCCAAGCGCACAAAATTCACAATTTCCAAAAATCGAGCATACTTCGGGGAGCCGCTGCTGCTGCTGCTGCTGCCGTTGAATTTATGCAAAAACAAAAAAAAAATGTCAACGGAAACTGTTGTTTTTGTGTGTGGTGCAGAGGGCAAGGACGCAACCACAGTTTGGCACTTTAAGTGGCGTTTGTTATGGATAAACTGCGAGCGGTTTTCTTTGTTTTCTTAGCTTTTCTTTTTGCCTCGTCACCTGTTTTTGCTGCGAGTGCGGGCTGCCAATTCGCATGCCGTGCAAAGTTTTTACGAGCTTGTCAACATTTTGTCTTGAGTGCATTTTTACGCACATGCTGCCACCAGCTCAGCCTCCTCCCTCGCCAGGCGGCAGTAAAATCGAAAAGTAATGCAATAAAATTCGCTTTCATTAAAAGCATTAAAATAGGTTTTTGACATGCCATAAAAATTGTTTTCACGTAAACACAAAACACAAAACACAACGCAAAACTGCTGCTGCTGCTACACTATGCTGCAAGGTGGCGAAGGGGGTGGGGCAGGGAGGCTGAGTGCGGATAGCTGCCTGCTGCTGGCTACTGACTGTTAGCATTCGCGTCCAAATGGGAATTTTATTGTTCTGGGAGCTGCGGCCGACGCACTGCCATTAGCCACAACACGGCATTGGAGCTCACCTAAGCGCCATAAATTTGAAAAGCATATTTGAGAACTAAGTAAGAAGACGGTGCTTGGGACTAGCAGGCAGAGTAGACTGCCTTCAAAACAAATATTATGCAAAATATACCAATGAAGAATCAATCTTCAGTTGAAGTTATATAGACATATAATTGAAATTAGATTTTTAGCTTTGAATCAAGTTTGAGACGCAGCCAAGTCCAAAAAGATATTCCTTAGGAAAATCTAATCAACTGCCTGGCAAAGTTTTAACGATCTGGCCAACATTTTGACTTGAGTGCATTTTTAAGCCCCGCCTCGGCACCCTGCTCTGGGGCGGCAGTAAAATCAAAAAGAAATGCAATCAATTTCGCTTTCATTGGCGGAGAGAGCTGAGGAAGCAGAGTGTGCGTAGCTGCCGCGACTGGCATTCGCGTCTAAATGGGAATTTTATTGTTGTGGGAGCTGCAAGCGACGCACTGCCATTAGCCACTACACGGCATTGCCACTCACCTAAGCGCCAAGGGGAAGGTGTTCATTTTTGCCAGATATTATCTATTTCGTCATAAAAGCTACAAATAACTCAGGGAATTAAAAGCGTCTGCTGTAAGAGTGCGCAGAGAGTTTGAGTTAAGAACGAGTAGAGTCAAATATTCATACGAAATGTTAGCCTGTTTTATTACCTATTCTTCTTCAAGAAACATTCTCTCAGAAAATATTGAAAGTCTGTTCAAAGCTCGACATTGTACAGGTTTCAGAATGAGTTGCTCAGCTTTTACTATTTATTTTCTGTAAAAAGACTATGAGGCTTTGGCTTAGAAGTCCTTTATGAGGTCAGCCATTTTCGATAAGTTTTAATTGAAAATGAATCAAATGTGCTCATGAATCTTAGTTCGATTTAATATCACATTGTAACCCACCTTATAGTATTCTCAAGAATATAAACTGAAAAGGTATGGGCTAACAATTGCGAACTGTCAACTGATTTAATAGTTAGTCCTGGTTGTTGCTTACGCTAAGCCAGCCAATAGCAAAATAAACGCCAAATGGCTGCGAAATTGGCAATTGAGAGAGAAAACGATGGAAAATCGAATGTGCATTAAATATATTTCAGCGTTATTAACTTGAAATTAGCAGGCAGAGAAATGGCGAAAAAGCCGCAGAATGGCATGTAATAAGGCGGCCGGAGCGAGGGGCAATCAATGAATGTTCAGGACAATGCGGAATGGCTGTTTCTCAGTGCTTAATTGCTGTGACAGCTTGTGGCCAGATACATACGCGTTCATTAAGTATTTTGGGGGGCAACGCTTTACGTTGAGCTATTTTCATGATGTAATAAATGAAATAAATTTTCATAATTGCAGCGATTTTCATTTGGGGCGCAGACAGCCGGGCGAATGGTTCGAATCGCTCGTTCGCATTGACTCGTAAACAGCGTAAAAATATAGCCAACATTTTTATTTAGGCCACTTATTTTATTTCGCCAAGCACCCAGATTGCTGCGACTATATGAACATATTTAATGATGACCATGAAAACTGCTTAATCGGAAGAATGAATATGAACATGAACATGTTGCCGCGGACTGGGAACCTCAACTAGATAATAAGCGCCAAGCATAAATACCCCGGGGAAATATGAAAAGCCAAACCAAAATATTTGCACAAATTCAAATGTTCAGTTGGCGGCTTCCTTTGAATGCCCTGTACCCATTGAAAGTGCGTAAACTGTGGGGCATATCGGCTAGCAGCAACCAGCCCAGTTGAGCTACCTTGCTGCGATCTCAGAGCGCGTATACATAGAGTGAATTTCCAACTTAAAATATATCTCATCTGCACAGCTGCTTTGTCTAAGTGATATATATTTTATATTAGTTTGTATAGTTGCATATTCATGGAGCTTAAAACATGGCCTTTAGAAGGACAAATGCCTGCCGCTTAATACCGATTACAGGGTATAGAAGAGTCAGTTCATGAAGCTGCAAATACCAAAGTTTATAATCTGGTCTTTAGAAGGACAAATGTATTTTACTTAATACCGATTACAGGGCATCTCACAGTCAGTTACTACCGCTTGCCGCCCTGTCACTTGTGTTTTTTTGCACAAACAGCAGCATTTTTAATATAGCTGTCATTTTGGAGCCCCTTCCCCCTTCGCGCTGTCGAGCGAGGCAGCCATTGGAGCAAGATTTTTATTGGTAATAGCAACGACTATTTTTCGCATTTATAATATAGGGCCATATATTTTCATGAACAGTAAATTATGAGGCGGCTTGCGGCTGACTAGGCGCCGCCAGGGGCTTCTTTATAGTGTACCAAAATTGATAAAACAATTGAAAACATTCCGATCCACACACACGCACACTCACACTCACACACACAAGCTTCTTGAAATATCTCTGACTTTCCTGTTAGCTAAATTTTAGATACGTGTTTTTCTGCTATGAAAGCTCTGTGCAAATTCTTGAGTTTAGATATAGGCAGTAAGCTGGCGGACTTCTTCGATATCTCATGCGAAGCTGACGCTACTACTGGCCCGGGTAGCTCGAGCCGGTATTCTGTAAATCCCGTGGAGTGTCTGAGCTACACCATTCGGCACAAGTATCCCAAGCGCCTGGTCACCTACGATGCCGAGGCGCGTTGCGAGCCACGAAATATACGTTCTTCGGATATAACCACACCTGCAGATACAATAAGACCAGATTGCCAGAAACGGAAAAAGCCTTCCCGCCAGATAGACACCGATGCGGAGCTGCTAAGCAAATGCTGTGAGCCCTTCAACCTGAAGGAGAAGTATACGAAGAAGCACCTGCGACAGCTGGAGCTTCGTGCCAAGGCGCTGTACCAACTCGCAGATCAGAAGCAGAGCAACTGCGCTGAGAATACTGCTAAACCAAGCTGGGAGTGCCTCAGTCCGAGTCAAAAGCTACGTTTCCACTGGAAGGCTCTGACTGGCCACGAGCTGCGCTCGACGCCCTACGCGAACTTCAGGGAGATTTTCATCACGCGCTACCTCAAAGAGGGTTCCCAGATCAATGTGCGCCAGCTGAGCACCGTGGTGCGGCGCACCTGGCTCAACCTGAAGAGTGACCAGCGTTTGCCCTTCAATCTGCATGCTCTGCTCTATCATGTCTGCAGCGGCACACTGGATCCCTTCGATCACTGTGCGGTGCGTGTGCTCTTAAATCGTTGGCGCTGACCTTGAAGACTTCTGGGCCTGTGGCGCTTTCTGTTTGCGGGCGCATTAAAATGTCTGTCAGGCAGTTGAGGAACATTGGATTTTGATTTTAATTTCCCAATTTTTTATACAAAACAGATGCTGTACAATATATATATATAATCATTTGTCCATATGCAATCTATTTTTGTGCAGAGTTTTCGTAAATTTGGCCACGTCTGCCCTGCTGCTCCGCTGCCCTAGTTCTATTGACTCGTTTCATCTGCTTTCATGAACTGTGCGATTTTGTTTTTTGCACTTGAAGCACAACTGTTGAGAATTGGGGAAATGTTACGAAGCGAGACGCCAAAATAATAATGGATCTTAACTCATTTCGCACATGCTTCAAGGTCGCCTTTGACATGGCCTTGACCAGTCTTTGCTGAACAGCTGAGTAATCCGTATACGCCGTGGATTACTATCAATTGTGAACGACACATGGCATTGGGCTTGAGAGGCAGCTCAATTAGCAATTGCTGGAGATCTCTGGCCAGCAATCCCGGCGGTCACTTCTGATGGCTTTCAACCTTCGACGATTCGATTCAGCCATGCGCATAAATTAGCAATAAAAACAGAAGAGAGAAACAAGAACTATTTAAAATGTAATTTCGATTTGTTTACGAGCGCAATGTTTAACTTTGTCGTGTATAAAATATAAAAATAAAAACAATAAATAAAATTGTAGCAAATCGGATCGGATCGGAATCGAAACAACATTATGCTAATAGAAATAATGGCCAGAGCGGGTAGGCCGTGTCTGCGGCTGGTGTTGAGTTTTATTGAAAAGCCAAAGAGGTTTGGGCGAGGGAGTTTTCCACGTTTATGGCTAGCGAATTGTCGTTGACAACTTTTGGCGAGTCGCACATAAAACGAAATGAAATGGAAAACTTAAAAAAAAAAAACAAAATGAAGGCAAGAAATCGAAATAGAAATAGAAATCGGCAATGACATCGATTCGCCACGTTTCCCCAGCTGTGCAACTGCTCTGTGGACGTCGCGTCGTGTGTGTGCGACTTGAAATTTATTGTTGTAGATATTGAGTTTTATAGTGTAGCGGGCCTAAGTCCAACTTCCAGCCCGCCCGCAGCCCTCGCATAATGCGGCGCTCACGGATTTGCGCATTTTTAAGCGCCGAAATCGAAAAACAATTGGCATTCGCATGCCTGACACTCTCAGCGCGTCTCTGGCGATGTTTTGAAGCCTCTGTGTCAAATGTGGCACTAACCCTAACCCCCTCAGCCCGCCTCCCCTCAGTCTCTGCTGCTCAGTTACTCAAACCCTTTTATGTTGCTGTTGTTTTTTCTTGTTGGCTGACTCCTTTCGGCTCGTCTTTTTTATGGCCGACTGTTGCAAAAGATTTTGTTGTTTTGATATTCGGCAATTTTATTGCCTCGACCCAAGTTCGCACCTCAATTTGTCTTCGTAAATGTGAAAAATGTGGAAATTAGTTTGGTGGTCCGCAGGCGGCTCGAGAGGCTGCTTGCTGCCCACATTTCATCAATCACACGATCTGTCACACCTATCGGGGTAGGCGTGGAGCCGGCGCTTCGTATCAGTTGCAGCTACCAACAACTGTAGCGAATCTCTCTCTCCTTCTAAAAAAGTGAAAGGAGTGCTGGCTGCCACGCCTCTTGACTCGAGAGTCTGCTGTTAATGGCGTGCGGCTGAAATTTGTGGCATACTTGCAGGCGTTTAGCCCAAACTCAAACAGCCCGCTAGCTCGTTGGCTGCTTAGTACTTCGGAATCTTTATCCACGCAGTCAAAGTTTTGTGTCACTTGGCCATTTTTATGCAAAGTCGATGCGCAAACACATAACGTAAAAATCAATGGCCGAACACATGACCAAAGCCCCTGGCCACCCTCTAAATAACTAAAAGCCTTATTCTGGACAAGGCCTCTTTATTAACATAACAATAATTATGGCTACGTTTTGGCTGCCCATTTGCCCGAATGCTGAGACATTGCGCAAACAACAAAAACTACAAATGGGATTCTGCAGCCATAAGCAAAACGCGCTCAATCACAATTGACATCCTGCCAAGGGGCAGGCGACGGGCGAACGGCGAACGGCGAACGGCAATCGGATGACCGACGTCGGACGTCGGACGTCGGCTGGCAAACGGACGGCGGGCAACGGCCAACGGTCAGCAGTCGCCATCGACGCTATGCATCCGGTTGAATTGATTTTAGCCAATGAATTGAACATTTTTTTTTGTTATACCCTATTTTTAGAAATTAACAAAGAGCATATTCATTCAGCCTTAATTGAATGTCAATTACAGAGAGTTAGAATTTCCTTTAGTCAAACAAACTTTTGATGAGCTCCAAGACATTTCTATTGATTATCAATTGGTAAGACTAACATGAGGTCCTTATGGGAAGTCAATAAATAAATATACTAACTTTAATTAGATGGATTTCTCTCAGTTATTGATAAGCTTGTCAAAGGAATTTAGTATTTTTTTAAATACTTAGTATTTTTCCTTTAAGCATTTTTCCTTCTGGCCCTTGGTCCAATCTGAACATTATCACCCAGTTCACTGTCACTGCAGAGTAACTTCAAGTCGAGTTAAATGTTTTGCATTCTTCGGTTTTTTGCTGGAATATTTGTGGGGGAGTATCACATGTAAATAGCAGAGTGTAACGGTAATTGTGACTGCGACTGTAACAGTGAGGCTCTTCCACGTAATTAACTTCAATTGAGTCTTGGGGCACGCTGCCAGCGTCCTGTTTGGCTTGTTTGCAGAGGGACAAAGGCGGCCGGCGCTCATTAGGCAGCAGCAGCGCCGCAAGAGGCGGGGCGGGGCGGTAGCTGCCATATAAATTGCGCTTAAACAGGAGCAAATTGACAGGCGTGCAGATTTAAGACGGCAGTTTGGCTCGCAAGTAAATCCAATTTCCGCGCGCCACTTTTAAGTCTTGCGGCTTGCAGTTTGAGGCTGAGGTTGCACGTACTCGCAACACTTTTCGGCGCCAGTCGCCCACACAGCATGCAGGAAGTGGCAATGGGACTGGCAGTGGAGCAGTAGCTGGTGCAGGATCAGGTCATGTCGCGGTCATAAATACAACAATGCCGCTGGCAGCAAAGTTTGAGCTGAGTGTCGCCAGCGCCATAAATTTGCGCGCGCAAAACTCACGGATTTATGTTGCAAGAACATGCGGCAGCAGATAGCAAGCGGTCCGGTTCGCAGCAGAGCTCTGCGGCGCGAATACAGAGCAGTGTGGAGGGCGCTGGGAAGGGAGCATGAGGGGCGTTGCGTGACGGGTGTTTCCTGGTTTTGGAGCCCGGCTAGGCAAACGTAATCCACTTTAAAGTTTGTCGCGGCTTTCATTTGTGAAATGAACACGAAACGCGGCCTCGTGCTCGTCGCTCATGTGAGGCGAGTGCCATATCCTTGCGGAAATCCTTCAGCAACTGCCTCAGCTACAGTTGCGGCTTCTTCTTCTTTTCGACTTTTTTCTTTCTTTTTTTTGGCAGCCATATGCAGCGCCTGTTCGTCCTGGTCGTGCCTGACACGACTTCTTATCCAATTTGCATTTAACGCATTTTTGGCCAATTTCGTTGGCTTCGTTTCGTTCAGGACAACCGCCAAATCTATGGCACTCTCTGTCATTGCCCACATTTCTTTTCTCTCTCTCTTCCTCTCTCCTTTTCCTTTTTTTGTTTGCAAATCCCATTTTGTAGCTATTTGCATTTAATACTGATGACTGTCCGTGAAATTGAGACGCGCTCGGCGAAATTAATAAAAGCGCCTGCCAAAGCAGCTGCCAGTTGGCCAAGAGGACTGCCAACAGCGGAGCCAACAGAACCGCAAGTAAAAATGTTCAATAAACGTCCGGTCAAGTGCTGTTAGACAAGCGACCGCAAACGCCTTCAATATGGCTAAAACTCTCCAACGGCAGCAGTCAATTTTGCATTTTAGCCATTTTCAGCCGGTTTCTGCAGCAGCTGAGTTTGACAGCGACTGCCCGCTGGCCGTTAGTTAGTTTGCGGTTCGCTTGCTACTCATGTGTTCGACAGGGCTACGTTCTGGGCACCAATTAAAAACGCGAATGTCCCCCATCTCCCACCCCCAGGCTTGCCCAGTTCCCATAATCCAACTATGCCAACTATCTAGGCCCAGGCGTGGGCACAGCTATCCATGCGCCCCCAAACACTTTCGAAGCAGCTGCCCGCGGTGGGGCGGCTAAGCGGATGGGCATGTCGAGGTGCTTTTTGACAGGTCTAGGTATTAATTAGGTTGTTAATTTTGCATTTGGCGTGCGTCGTTCGCTATTCCCGTGAAAAACGCAGCGCCCATAATGACACACGTGGCACGATGATAAATCTTGCGGCTTGTGCAACAGCAGCGAACACATGTCGCAGTTGCTCAGTGTTCACAAACTCCGCCACTTCACTCCCTCTACGCACCTGTCTCAATTAAGCGTGCAAATCGCGCCCATGTCAAATTTAAATGCCGCACTCTAGCAATAAGATCTGCGAGCAGTCAAGATCTGAAGGCGCTGGCAAGAGCCAGAGAGATGCATATGATGTTGTGGCTATAGCCTATAGCTATATCTGTCTGTATATATAGATAGCTTCATCTATGTCATCATTCCCGAAGCGGCTGCAGTTGGCATCTTGCTTTGAACACATCTCAGGTTGATGTTTCTAAAAATGTTTGCTTCAGTGTGACAGAGTTCGTGAAATCTCAGAAGTATTGGAGATTATATAGGATATGTAAGATGTATCAAGAATTGATCTTCAGATTTTATCTGTAGACAGATAGGTTTGAGAAATTTAGTTTCATATTTCCACTAAACTTTTAACTGATGTCTTTATATCTACTTTGAGGTAAATAACCTTTTGAATTGAAATTTCACTCAGCACGGAAATGGCACATATTAAGATTGAAAAATATAAAAGAAATATTGTAGTAGTTCAGCTTCAGCCAAGTTATTAAAACACATGTTCCCATTGCTGGCATTCTTTAAATCAGATAGAAATGGCAAAACTTAATGATCTGTGTCTAAATAGAGAGTCAGATATGACAAGTACAAAAACGAATTTATGGCACTAAACAACAACAACAACAACAACAACAACAACAACAACGACAACAAGATGACGACCAAAACTAACCAACCCTCTGGGAATACCCTGTAATGGGACTCTTATCTACGTTTCAATGAGACGAAATTCGCACAAATCACGCAAAATTTTGCACACTTAACGTGAGAGAAATGCTAAGGGTAGCTGCGAGTATGTGTGTGTGTGTGAGTGTGGAGTTGCCAAGGCCAAGGGCTGAGAGTGAGGGTGAGCTCTGAACTGATAAGAACTTGCAGCCTAATGCACCGTAGCGTTTGTGATGGAGTTTCGACGGCGGGCATCAATTTTGCACCAATTTCCGTTTCCCCCTTGGCAAATGGACAGCAGCCACAACAACAAGAACAACAACATCAACGGCAAGTGGGGCATGCCACAGTCCAAGTGGCAACATTTCACAATTGGCCAAAAATTGAAAAGTCATAAATTTCGAGCGCCGTTTCGAAATCGAGCACGGCACGGAAATGCGCACCATGCGTGGCCAATTATTGAAATACGACTTTAATTGAATTTCAATAAAATGTTTCAGCATTTCGCATTTCCTACGAAAGCTGTATGGCTGCAATTGCAACTGCAACTGGCAATTGCCACCGGCTCATGTTTATTTATGGCAAATGTTAAAATTGTAGCAATAGCAATTGTTTTTATCCGCAGCATTGTTTTTATTATATGCCAAAAGCCATTTAGCCGGCCGGTTACCACAGCTTCCAGCTCTATATTTGAATGCGTTTGTTTTCATTCTGCAAGGCTTACAAATTGTTGTTTAGAATATGAATAAGTACACGCAGAGAAATTCCCATATACAAATAGTTGAAAGAAAATTGTGATCAGTCATGAAAATTCAGAATTTTCTATGGTCAAAACGAATCAAATATTTAGATATGAAGAGTTATAGAGTTAAGTATTTATAATTAGATTGAAAAATATTATTAATATTATTTTACTTTTTATTTTTATAAAATATTAAAAACATGAATTTATTTTTATATATTTTTTATTTTCTGTCTTTTTTCTTGCAATAATTTTGATATGTGTAAATTATTTGTCGGACACATAGAACCTGATGTCATATGCAATTGATTTATTGGGGCGATATCATCAATGGGGATCCTGTTTATGGCTGATTTATGACGATCTGACAGCACAAAAGGTGGCCAAAAAGTCAAATTGTCAGCACAGTCCAGTGCACCAACAATAAAACTAAGTAAATGCGCATTAAAATAATCATAATCATAATCATAATAATTTCTTTTATGCCAAAACTTACCTCAAACATGGACAAAACTCAGCCAGCTGCGAAATGTCAGCGTTGCCACCCGCAGTGCAGGCCGTGGGCTCGGCCCGAATCAATGGATTACATGGAGCAGCTACAACAATGGCGGGCGGTCCACGTCGATGATTGAAGGTGCAGCCGGAAGATGAAGCGAAACGGTGGCAGGTTCGCATTTTGAGCAGACATTGGGGTGGAATTGACTGGAAACCGTTGGCACTTGCAAAGGGTTTCGGGCAAAGGTAGCGGAAGGGAGGCGGGCGGCAGCAGGAGTTGGGGGAGACTAACGCCAGTGACTGACAGCGGCGCATGACAAAAGTCACATGGCCTGCGGATTAGTTACACCTTTTGAACACATACGTGGCGGGAGGGGAGGGCAGGACTTGGTCGAGGTGGAACACGTTGACATTGTTGCTGCTTGCTGAACTGTGTACAGTGAATGCATTTGCCGGTCATGCAGCATGCAGCATGTACAAGCGAGAGAGACAGTAACTGTGTGTGTGTGTGTGACATGATTCATATCCCGTTTGTGTAGAGATTAGCGCTAATGGCGAGGGCTGTTCGCAAATGTGGCATATATGTTTGGCGCGAGTCGAGACAACGGCGAAACCTTTCAGCATAATTGAATTTGGCCATTTTGTGCCCTGCTTTCACTTTCACCTACTTAAGCCCAGAAAGCCAGAGCCAAAAAATGTCACTGATAACTAAACCAAATATTGGCCAAGAGCAGCAAAGCGCCAAGACAAATGTGAAGCGTGTCAACAGTTCATCGGGGCGTCAATTACTTTGCATAAGCCAAGCAGAGACAGTCCGCTAATACAGCTAATGAATTTTAAGTGTTGCCGAGCAGCCAAAGAAATGGCAATTGGTCCGCCTGGAGGAGATACGTGTGCGTATGACTTAATCTGGTCTTGGGCCGCTTAGCGAACGCATCTTGCCAAGTCCAAGACGCAGTCGTAGCCGAGGCCAATGGACGTGGATATGTGTATTTATGGAAAGGCCTAGCATGCTAGATATTATCCGTTTATTTATTGCAGTCGTTAACATATCTTAGCCCACTGGAGTTTATCTTGTCTCTCTTTGTGTGTGTGTGTGTGTGGGGGGAGAGGCTCATCTTGTGGCTGTATGTTAAATGAGCCAAGCTTTTGGATTGGGTCGTTCTAAGTGATATTGTTTAGTTTTTGCACGATTTCTAATTTACTGGTTAGACTCAAAGCGAGAGGGAGAGAAGGAGGGAGCGAGAGAGAGAAAGAGAGGGAGAGTCAGTGAGAGAACGCTTGAGAGTGCAAGTGAAAGCGGTTTGGTTTAACGTAAAGCAGCAATTGCGTTATGTTAAGTACGTGACAAATTTTCTAAATTTTAAGTGTATTAAAAACTATATGAGCATGAGGAGTATGAAGTGAATTATTTGGCTGAATCACTGTCAAGTGGTTGGGGTCGATTTGATATACTAAATTTCCATGACAATTGGCTTGCCTTTGGGCTGGCGGACAATATGAGATGAGAGCAAGCTAAGTAGACCCCAGTGAGCTTTGCTTGTAGTTGTAATACTTAACTCGAATTGTATAACCTTTTGCCTTACTGTCTATTCATAATACTTTAATAAAAATGATTAGCAAGAAATTCTATGAGATCAAAGAACAGCTCTCATTAGCAGAGCGCTTCATATTCTTTATATTATTAGGAGTACAGCTTACACTTGCTTGAACAGCTTATGATATGCCTACCTTTCCAAAAAATCTATTATTTAATATTAAAAACTGATCAAGTCTCGAAAACTTATCGAGTATTTGTGCAACAGTCTGATTGTCTTTCAATTTCAGACTTAGCAGCTGAAGTATTTGTCAATAAATAATGAAGTTTTCGAGAATAAATGTCATCGCATTAGAATCAACCCCAAACATATTTAGAAAGACATTTGCACATGCCTTTGCACACAGACACACAGCCATCTGTATAGGCCAAGCTAAGAGCCTATCCAAAAGCCTAACCTTTCCGTAATTGCCTGCCAGCCCCAAGCCCCCGTCACAAGCTAAGGCTTAAAACGCTGAAAGATAATGATTAATTGTCAATTTGCGTCCAACAACGGGCAGACGTCCCACACATGGCCAAAGTGGCCAATAACGGGCCGTTCGCTCGCTAGTTACCTTAAAAGCCATGCAACAACCGGAGCATCCGGTTCGCTCTTATCAGCATCAGGCTTCAGCTGCAGAGCTGAATGGTCGACGTGTCCATCATCGTATGCCAACTGCAAACGTGGCGAGGCTCCTAGCTAAGAGCTGAGTGCTGAGAGCTGAGAGCTGAGAGCCCAGAGCCGAGAGCTGACTAGCTGACATGTAGAAATAAATGTACTAGAAAATTACGAACTTATGTAATCTTGGTTAGCATCATTTATCAACTGGACGTTTTGCAATTTTTCTTACTTTTGCCGGACCGCATCAAGAAGTCGGTGACGTGAACGTTAAGGTTGACAGTGACTGCGACTGTGAAGTTGACGTTGACGTTGATATGTGTGGCCGACGCACAGGAAATTGGCATTTGATGCGCTCATGTGGTCAGGCGGTCATGTGGTGTCTGTCTGGCTGAGGGCCTGAGCTTATTTGTCATACCTTGGCCTAATTTGGGCCGGCATGCCCAACTAATTGAAATATTTTTGAGAGTAAATATGTACGTTTTGCCTTTGTCGTTTCTTCTGTTGTCAAACAATTGAAATAACAGAAACGTAAACAAAATTATGCATTCCCAAATTATTAGTTTATTGAGCTGCAATTATAAGGTAACAGATATTCTACTCCTAGGTGTTGTCCATCCTTACTGTGGAAAATGATTAAGAGGCCTGCGTGCTGATTATGAGTAGCCCGAACTTGCAATCAACTTTTAATGCAAAGGAAGACTACACTGCCATACTCGATAATCTTAAGCAGGAATTTGACGAGCGTTGGAAGTCCCAGGAACCATCGCCCTACACCAACCTAGAGGGTTATGTACAGCGTGCGGTCATCGGCACTGGCAGTTTTGGCACTGTTGTGAGTTGTCCCTCTGAATATTTGCATAATCAACTCATTACTGTCGGCATCTGATCGCAGTTTTTGGTTAAGGAGAAGAAAGGCAAGAATTATTACGCAGCTAAGATGATGAATAAAGATGATCTGGTACGACTGAAACAGGTCGCTCATGTGCACAATGAGAAGACCGTACTTAGCGCCATTCGGTTCCCATTTCTAGTGCATTTGATCGATGCTACCAAAGACTTTGACTACTTGTACCTAGTGCTGCCGTTCGTAAATGGCGGTGAGCTGTTCACATATCATCGCAAGTGAGTTTTAGCCTGAACTTCGACTATGTCTGCAAATACATAGATACAGTCCTTCCCCTATGCACCAAGAGTGCGCAAGTTTAACGAGAAACAATCGCGGTTCTATGGGGTCCAGGTTCTGTTGGCTCTCGAGTATTTGCACCATATGAGTCTGATATATCGCGACTTGAAGCCCGAGAATATCTTAATGGATGCTCGTGGCTATATTAAAGTGACAGATTTCGGCTTTACCAAGGTAAGAATGCATTTCACCCTCATCGTTATGCATATCTATATTTAGAGGAGACTGATCTTCTCAGCGTGTGGACAATAGAACATCTACACTTTGTGGCACACCCGAGTATTTGGCACCGGAAATCATTCAACTAAAGCCCTATACAAAGTCCGTTGACTGGTGGGCTTTTGGCGTATTGATGTATGAGTTTGTGACTGGTCATTCACCTTTTTCAATGCATAATCGTGACGTCATATTGATGTACTCGAAAATTTGTTTGGGCGAATACCGGATACCCTCATTTTTTACGAGTCAGCTGAAAAGTTTGGTAGAGAACTTGTTGCAGAATGAGCCATCTAAGCGGTAAGCACACCGGAGACATTTTTCGGGCCGCATTTCAAGCATGCTTCTTCAGTTTAGGTAACTCAACCGAGGGCTCCGCACAAATCAAAGCTCATCCATGGTTTCAAGGCGTCGATTGGTTTGCAATACTCAATCAAGATATTACCCCGCCATACGTTCCGACTGTATCGAATATTGAAGATTTGTCAAACTTTGAAAATTTTGAGAACAAAACGAAACAGAAATCGAAAATAAATCGCCACCCAGACTTGTTTAATAATTTTTAAACGTTGGTCTTCCAATATGTTTTGTTTTCGCTGGACATTTGTTCACTTTCAAAAGGGGAAAACGTATCCTTGTACGTATGTGATAACGATAATATCCTTGTAAGTTCTGCAAGAAATACTTCTAGATTCCCCCAATCACATGCATGCCATTAGAGTACGGTAACTGAAGCCAGGGATTAATCGAATTTGGGGAAACCTACGAATCGCGCCCCAATAAAAGTTTCAGAGTAGACAAGTAGCCTTGGTGCTACTTTTCACAACTGATTATTTATCTAACTGGCTTAACTCCAAAATGTGTGTAGTATTTATTCGAAATTCTTGGAACATTTATTAATAGTTTTTTTTACGTATAACTATAGAGAGTAACAAAGTAATTTAAATTAATGGGCGGGTTTCCAATATGGATCCGCAATACTTTAGTCCCAAAGTTGAGTACGGTGTCATATTGGAAAAGCTAAAAGACGAATTCAACAAGAAATTTAACCGTAATACCCCGTCGCCGTCGTGTGGTCTCGATAACTTTATAATCAGAGCGACCCTAGGGGCTGGCTCATTTGGCAAGGTGCAGCTGGTCAAGGAAAGGGACGGTGATAACTATTACGCCTCGAAACAGTTGAGCAAAGATCAAATAGTTAAGACCAAACAGATCGCTCATGTCATGAGCGAAAAAAAAGTACTGAACTCAATGTGCTTTCCATTCACCGTCAATCTGATCTCTTCGTACAAGGACAACGACAGCCTTTACCTAATTCTGCCTCTTATAATGGGCGGCGAACTGTTTACCTACCATCGCAAGTGAGTCCGACTGATGCTGTATATATATGTGTATTTGCCTTTGATCGGGTACCGTTTCCCGATTCCGTAGAGTTCGCAAATTCAGCGAAAAACAGGCTCGCTTCTATGCCGCTCAGGTGTTCCTCGCTCTGGAGTATCTACATTTTTGCAGTCTATTATATCGTGATCTGAAGCCCGAGAACATTATGCTTGATAAGAACGGTTATCTGAAGGTTACCGATTTTGGATTTGCAAAAGTAAGTGAACACCCGCCAATTGAATTTGATCTGAAATTAATAAATTATTATCGCTTTTCTCATACAGAAAGTCGAAACGCGTACGATGACCCTGTGTGGGACTCCCGAGTATCTGCCACCGGAGATTATACAGTCAAAGCCATATGGCACCAGCGTGGATTGGTGGGCTTTTGGTGTGCTAATCTACGAGTTTGTGGCTGGCCAATCTCCGTTTGCCGTACACAGTCGTGACGTCATGGTCATGTACAACAAGATATGCGAAGCGGACTACAAGATGCCCAGCAGCTTCTCGGCCCCACTGCGGAATCTGGTGGATCACTTGTTGCAAGTCGATCTTTCGAAACGGCAAGTCAAACGTTGCTTTTAACATACATCCATGAACACAACTGAATAGTCATAGTATTTGCAGATTTGGTAATTTGATCGGTGGCAACAAGGACATCAAGAATCACGAGTGGTTTAAAGAGGTAGAGTGGATACCACTGCTTAACCAGACCTTACAGCCTCCGTACACGCCCACAATCACAAGTGCCGAGGATATTTCCAACTTCGATAAGCACCCTGAAGGTAAGCCGAAGCAAAAGGCAAAGACCGTCAAGCATGAAGAGGCTTTCATTGACTTCTGAAGCCAGAAAAAACAGCTGCAGATTACAGGATATCAACCAACTAAAGCCAGTCGTAAATAGTTAAATATTTTCAAGAAATAAAGTTTAGAATTGTCTTATATTGTTAAACAGACTTGGGCCAGTTTTTGACACCCACTCACTCCGCTGGAGTGGAGCAGCCGCTCCACTTCGCCAGTTGGCATCCACATGTGTTCATTAGTTTTTCACGCCACCGACGCCGCCGCCGCCGCAGCGAGTGTCAACGTCAATACTCTGCTGGAAAAATCGTCTTGTTTCGGTTTAGTTTTTCTCGGAAAACAGCTGGCCCTACTGGAAATTCCACAGATTTCCCACACTTGTTGACTGCAGTCAGGCACATTTTTAATTCGTCGAACTTAACTTGTAATTGGACTTGAGGCAGTCAGATAAATCATTAAGACAATGCGTGACGCTTTGTTGAAATTACCATTTCCATCGGGCAAATGTTTGTCTCTGATGCAATTGAATGAATTTATTGCGTCTTCGTTTATTTATGTGCCTGGCTGGTAGTGGGTAGGCATCTCAAAGAACTTTACTATTCATTACAGCTGATTCTCCGAGCTCAGAGACAAGCGAACAACAACAGATTCTCGCTTGTTATTCATCTGCTCAATGCTTAAACGAGTTGACGACAAAAAATGTGGCTGAAAAGAAAGAAGTCCTTATAAATCTTTTATACCTTTCGGGGCTACTCTGCATATCTGGCAGCATTGATTTATATGCAAGACTTAATAAAAATGGAGCGAACGCCAGACGCCAGCCTGGCCGAAAAATACCTTAGCAAACGCCAGCGACTCCTTTGTCCAGCGGCTAACAAAACAAAGAGGCAAAACCAAAGGAAAAAGTCCACAGGAAAAAAAAGTTATGATTATCATAATTTTTGTTACGTGAGTTTTCATGTGGAAAAGATGAAACATCATCGTCTGCCCGGCAGGCAGCAGCCGGGCGAGGAGTTGGTCTGCGTCTCCAGGCGCAGAGGCGTAGCCGGGCAGAGGCAGAGCCAGAGCGAGAGTCTGGGGTGGCAGTCGTCATCACTATAATCATGGCACGCATTTACTCCTGTTTTTACCTCTGACTCTTGGCGCCCGCCAGCCTGGCGCCAGCTTCCCGCATTCCCATTCGCATTCGTGTTTGCGTCTTTGCTCTCCAGACATATATTTTCAGTGTTGTGTTTCGCCCTGTGTTAAGAGCGTTGTTGGGCGTGCTCTAGTCGGAACTAGAACCTGGCTGGCCACCTTAGCAGTTGGCAGTTAGCAGTTAGCAAAAAGAAGACATCATGCATTCTAATGAGACTTTTAATTGCAGTCCATTGACCACTTGAAGGGAAGCCTGTCAGATTCGCCAGGGCTGCCAGGCAGCCAGCCAGCCAGCCATCCAGCCAGGGGCACGTGTCGGATGCGCAGCTTTCGCTTGAGTAGCCTAAGAATTGATGGAACTCGGAGCAAAGTCAACAAAGCAGACGCACGGCACACACGCACACGCACAGACACCCAACCAAGCAATCCCCCAATCCCTTGCCCACTCTCGAGCCAACTGCAATGACAAATTTGCTGCACGGAAATTAGCGATGCCCACCGCCAGATACATTTCATATTACAGACAGACAATTGAATCCTGAGGGTTGATCTTGCTGCCGCTCCGTCAGGCGCTTATTATTGTTGTTGTTAGTCAGCGAGTAAGCGAATTAATTGTTGTTTTGATTGCGCAGCAAATGGTCGCTGAGTCCGCTAGGCTGCGTCTGCTCAAGTGGCTGGGAAAATCCGAGGCGGCCTCGGCAGGATTCCACTTCTATTTTTTTTTCTGATTTTTCGTTTTTTGTGGAAAATGAAATTCTTGTTTATTGCTTGTGAGCACTTAGCATTATGAAAATTGCACGAAGCGCATCGGTGAAAATTCGTTACGAAACTTAAGAGCTAGTGATTGATGCGGGACGATCTATGACTGCTCCAGCTCCACCTCCACGGTCACAGGCGGCACATCATCCACGGGTTCGGGCGCGTACACCTTGCCGGAAGCAAGCACAATCTGATTCTTGCAGTCCATAACGAAATAGGCGAATGGACGATTGATATCGAAACGCTCTACGCCCGGCTCTGGCTCTGGCTCTGGCTCTGGCACTGGCAGCGAGGCAGCTGCTTCGGTGGCAATCGGTGAACGGCCCTGAACGTTGACCGCAGACATGGAATTGATGCTGCTGCCGTCCTCGTCGAAGCGCACGCTCACATATTGCACAATCTCATCGATAAACAGCTCCTGCTCCTCGGACAGCCGATTTAGCTGCGCCTCGGTGCGGGAGAACATACGCTTGAGACCCATCTGCTTGAACATTGCCTCGGAACGAGAGATCTCAATCACCCGAAACTTGGGCATCGTCACATGCAGCTCCTTGAGATGGATATGCTCTTGTGCATACTTGTAGTCGCTGGGCTGTAGCTGTGCGATTACCTCGGTGAGGCCCTCGGGCTCGTTGGGCAGCACAATGTAGAGGCTGTACTGGTTGTTCTCGTAGGGCAGAGAGATCAGGCGCGCCTTCAAGTGGGGCAAATCGGATACGTTGAACTTGCCTCGGGAGTGCATCATGGGCGCCTTCATGGCGTCATCATTTGTCATAAAGAAGAACTCGTCGCTGCCGTCGCGCAGCTGATAGAAAGGCTGACTCCAGTTGCTGTGGAAGTACAGTCCATTGAAGAGCAACATCTTAGTCCTATCATCAATCATCCGACCTTTCACGGAGCTGACGCTCAGTGCGCAGGCAATGTCATTCTTGCCGAAGAGAGTGCGAGCCCCGTAGACCTGAGGTGAAAAGGAAGCGAACTTAGTGTCAAGATTCACCAGAAAATGCTGCACCTAAAACATACCCGAGCCACTGAGCTGAGATGCGATTCGAGTGCAATCATAATCTCGTCGGCGCCCTCCTTGACCATTGTCTTGACAGCATTTTCCAGTTTCTGCAGTGGCAGGCTCACCTTCTCGGGTTCACTGTCGGTCACCTGGCTGCCAGCAGTGTTTGGCTCGTTTGGCAGCTTGCGCAGCTTTTCATCCTCCTGCACCGTCTCGTTCTCCTCCACATTTGGATTCTGTTCGGCATTGGCATCGCTGCGCTTGTTCTGCTGCTTCTCAGCAAGATTTTCCTTTACGGTCAGGGTGATCTCAGCTGGTTTTTCTAGTTTTTCCAGTGGTGCATCTGTGCTGCTGCTATCGGCATCCGTTGCTGTCTGCTCGGTGGTCAGCCGCTCCCGCTGTAACTCTTCCTCCTCGGCTAGGGCAACTGGTTTTTCCACATACTGCTTGTCATCCACATCGCGATCGAACTTGGATGCCTCCTTATTGATTACCTCCTCGCCATAGTTGTCATTGGGGGTGCCAACGGGAGCATCATCGTCCAGGTTAATGCGCTTCAGTGTCTCAAAGCCGATGACATCTTTGCTATTGCTCGGCTCTGTGCTGTCCCCATCTGTGCCGCTGCCCTCCGGCGTCGAGTTGCTTTGCTCTTCCAAGTCATACTCCTTGCTATAAAGCTCTTGCATCTCGGTGTAGTAGTGACGCTGCAGCAGCTCCTTGTAGTCCTCGCGCGCGCTGTTGTTGCGATAGACATAGAAATAGGTATGGAACAAGGGCAACCCAGTGCCTGTATCTTTCTTCTGGTAGCCGGCCAAAATTGGCTCAAAGCCTGCTCTCAGGTCCTGGCGTTCCTTGGGAAAGCCAAGGACTTGGCCAAACTCTGAGTAGGTTTCGCCATCAGCTGCCTCTGCTAGCGTGGCCAAAATGGTTACCACTCCCACTGGAGAATACACCTGGTTGGCGTCGATGTCCTTGTTGTGATTCAGCAACTGCGTGGCAATCAGCTGGGAAACCTCACTGACAAATGAGCCGGGCAGTGCACTTTCCTTGGCAGCAAGCGATGGCAGAGAAGACACAAAGCTGGCACTGGCCAGCAGCGGCAAAAAGTAGAGCACTGCTTTCATTGTGCACGAGACGTTGACGATCGCGTCTGAGACGCGAATGAAGCTCAAGAAAGTTGGCCAAAGACTTTTTATAAACAGCCAGCCGAGAACCAGCGTCGGCGTTGGCGTAGAGAATAGACGTCGACGCAGGCGCAGACGTCAACGTCATTAAACTGGTTACAAAGTGGCAGCGCCAGCGCCAGCAACAAGCTCTGACAAATCCCACAAGCACTGGTGCCCAGCTAGAGGGCCAACAAACAAAAAAAACCATGGGCAATTGTTAAAGAAAGTCGCGCCTCAACGAAAGTGGAAGTGGCGTGGGCTTCAGACAGCACCAGTACCTCCACAGCTCCAAGTGCCACACGGTAAATGGGTCAAGCAAACATCAATAAAACAATCAATATGCAAATGCGAGCAGCAAACAGAAGAAAAACCAAAACTCTAAAACTCCAAAAAGTTCAAAGTCATTGAAACGTTAACAGGTTTTCACTTGGCCTACGTGTGGGACATTTGATTTTCTGGCTTCGATCTGGGCTAATTGCCTTTTCATGTTGTGGACGCTGTGGCAATGGGCAGACACACGGATTAAGCAATCTCTGCACAGATTACCTATCCACTGGGTCCACAGATCATGCAACAATCGATTCGCAGCAAGTTCTTTGTGTGTACCTGGACACGCTTAACCCAATTTCAATGCAAATCGTCAAGCGTAAAGCGAACAGCGATCGAAAAGCGTCAACACAATTCGAGGGCACTGAACTTGGCCATCATCAGAGCCGAAGCTAGCGCTGACGCTGGCGCCGGCGCCGGCGACGACTTGATTTTGATTATCAAATGCGAAGAGCGGGCGAAAGCGAGCAGAACTTCCACGTCGACTGCGCTGCCGCCAGCACCAGGTGTGAGTCGCTAATAAAATGTTCAACTTAAACAAGCTTTAGAGGCTTGCAAACGAGTTTCCAGCCATTTAGAACAAGCCGCACAAAAAGTTGCACAATTGCAATGCTGGCGATGTTAATCAAGGGGCAGCGGCAGCGGCAGCGGCAGGGGCCGGGCAAAGTTTTGTAATGCTGCCAGCCTCGGGGCAGCGAACTCTACACGGAAAACAAACCCGGCAGCAACTCTTATGCAATTTATTTAACCAGCAGTCCAATCAATTCAGCAGATATTCTAACACAGCTCGTTAGCAACGCTTTTTAAAGAGCTTCGGCAGACAACAGGCATGAAGAGAAGATCTCAAAGGAAAATTAAAGCAGCTGGAAAGACTTCTAACCCTAAAGAAGCTTGGATGAAAATGTGGTAGATATCAATTAGTTCAAGATGCTTTAAAAGCACCTTTAAGCTTTAAGCTTCAAGAGCCAATTCATAATCAACTAACTTGGTTTTTAGAAAAATATGTCTTAAGAAGCTTTTAAAGCACATGAAAGCTTAAAGCTATAAAGTACATGTGCAATATTTACAGAAGGCCCACTGTATCTTTGAGAATGTGAAGACTGAAAAGCTTTTTTACTTTTAGATATTCTTGAGATATTCAGATCAGATCAATTATTCAAGTTCACTTTATATTCCAAAATCTTAAAAGAGTTAAATACATAAAAAGCTTAACAGCTGCTGTATCCAACAATAAATTTTCATATTCAAATATGCGAGAGAGTATTTAAGAGAGTATTCAAAATAGTACAGATTTGCAACTGTCTTGTTTAGTGGGCTGTCAGGAATAAAGCATGCCGTCACCTTGGGTCGAGCCCCTTTTATTTGAAAACAAATACTTTTGTATTTTTGTGCAGTACATAAATCCAGAGACCCAAAACCATAAATTAATGAATGCGTCGAGTGGCGAGTTGTTCTTTGTACAGCTTCTGTGCAGTTCTGCCCGAGCAGCAACCCCCAAAGGGTCGCCGATGCTGGATGGGCTGTGTGTGATATTAGAAGTTATTAAGGCAACTGGCGAAAACTACGAGAATGTCGCATAAATTAACAGTAGTGCAGGACAACACCTTCGGCTGCTCCGGCAGTGCGTGTAAGACGAGGCGCAAACAGCACCGCGGGGACACATTAAAGAAAGGCCAAAGAATAGTGGACAATTCAAGTAGTTGGCAAACTATGTTTGGGCAACTCGATAATGTAGATGCCATGACTAATTGTTTGATTTACGCAAATGCGCTGCCAACTCGGCTGCTGCTCTGGTCGTTAAAGTTGGCAACTCCTTCGGCAAGTGTTTGGGCTTTAATGATGTGGCTGGGTTGCCTGGGCTGCCAGTTGTCAGCTGTCAGTTGTCAGCTGTCATAAATCGGGCAATACATCAGACAGTGCCAGCAGCAGCGGCACTCATCATAAGTCAAAAGGTGAGCCTGGGCTTAATCAGCTGCCAGGCGCATGTCCTGCGGGCAGCACTTGAGCTGAGCCTCGGCAAAATAATTAAACTTCTGTTTATTGTCAAGCAATCGTGCGTTGGCTGTGCAACTTCTTAATTATGTTTGATAGACTAACACAAAGGCACGCGACACAGCCACACACACACAAGGCACACACGGCACACATGACACTCCGGGCAGGCTCAGCTCCTCTCCCACTCTCTCTGCGACATAATTACGCAAACAAAGGACTTTTGGCAGCGTCTGTGTGTGTGGATTGTTTTTCAAGTTCATCTGCTTCATTTGCGCCGCTTGATTTCAACAAAGCAGCAGCACGTTTAAAACTCGAAATCAAGTTGTAACTGTGTTTAAAAGAGCGCTCAGCGGAAAGGAGGAAGGAGGTGAGCGCCTAGCAAGTTGTTTGCTGTTAAGGCGCAGATCCTGGCCAGGACACTTGCTGCCCAATCCTAATTGATTTATGACATCAAAGACATATTTTTCGCAATGTTGCGTGGCCTACGTGCGTGACAGTTGCCACACAGGGAGAGGCTGCAAGGACGCACAGGACACACGGCTCTGTGTGCCACTGACGCCGTTCGTTTGCCGTCTTGTTGATAATTTTGACTTATGGCCTGGCTGCTAGATGCGTGCGCAGGATTTGTCACATAACTCTTGCCCCGCCCACGGCTCGAAGTAAACCAGCGCCTGAAAGTGTTGGGCTAAAGGTTCTCCATTGTCTGTCTACAGTTGGTTTTTGCTTCCATTCTCTGGTTACAGTTGGTAAATTGTGGCAAGTTGTGGTGCAGCTTCAGCCATGCTAAACTTTTTCTATTAGGGCGCAATTATTTCAAGGTATTATTGCTTTTAATTAATTCAATTAAACGCTTCATAAATTTTTACTTTTTGATTTCGTTTGCTGGCGCCGGCCGTAATGGAAAAACTTTCGCCGTGGTTGGCCAAAAGATTTTCTCCAGCTCTCGGTTTAATTAACGGCGGCCAATGGGCGTGGCTGGCTACGCGGAATTCGCCTACTTACATTTTCCCTGCTGCCTGTTTATTAAAGGATTCCCGCGGCTTGCCCTTATCATAAAATTTGATTTCAAATTGTTTGATGCGCGTTTATTTGCATTTTTGTGTGCTCCACTGAGCAGTCCCAAAAGATTTACGTATTTCCAAATTTCCACATTCTCCCCGTTGGCAACAAAGTTGAGACTAGCCACAGCAATGCTCAGCAGCTGCTTGATCAAATTATGGTACGAACAATAGCTCACACTACAACACTCTGCTGTTGCTGTTGCTGCCACTTCAATTAAAAGGACATCAACAGTCGACACAGCTGCTGCACACACCAGGGACTACGAGCTCGTGGTATCCTGTTCACGTGAGGCAAACTAAAACGTTATTGATATGTAAGAGGCGTGCTCACACCTTCCAGCCAATTGGCATCTATCAGTTGTAGTTGGAGTTGGGGCTGGAGCTGGAGCTGTAGCTGTAGCTGTAGCTGTAGCTGGACCTGCCCGTCAGACGTGATGACTTCCGTCATTATCAGCACACACAAAACTTTTTTGCCACCCTCTGGCAAATAATCGAACTAACGTACAACAACAATTTGTTTTAAATGCCAAAATGAACAAAAAGAGCTAACAAACCCCTTAATAATTTATGAAACAGCAAAGAGCAAAGGTGCTGCACAGCTGCAGGACGAGCTGGACTGGCTGGACTGGCTGTACCAGCCTGGATTCTGGACACGAACATGACACTCGAGGGAGCAGGCGGGCTCACACATGGGGCCAGGCCAGCAACTTTTCTATCAATTTCGTGTACTCTAATAGAGATTAAATGCATGTCGAAAAGGCAATTAGTTTTTGCTCGGGCAACCCTCGATTCTTGCTCTGCTTTTGGGGGCGGGACTGATTGAATCAAAGCGTTGCACCATTTTTCTTGGCCACTTTTTTCGATTTATTTTTTGGCCAAGGTGTTGCTGAGTGCTGGGCCGTTTCCCCTAATTATATGAAAGTTTGGCAGCAACTGCCAGCAGCAATTGGCATTAACCCTTTTCTCTGGGCCGTAATAAGAATCAGACGCAACGTCAATGCTAATTAAACTCGCGCTGTCGCCGCTAATGAGCAATGAAAACAACGTGTTGTTTGAGCAAACTACCCACCGTCCAGCCCACCCTTTTCCGCCGCCTTTCTGCTCTCTAGAATGGACTGATAAGGGCCAGGCCCAGTCGCCGGCGTCAGGTTAAATCAACCATCAAAATAATGAAGGTATCGTCAAGTTGGGCACTTGCACTGATTTCTTTTAAATATTTTTCCACAATTTTCTGGCCATTTTTTGTCTTGTTTTTTGAAGCTCAGCCATTTAATGGGATTAAAGCGGGGCTTCGTTTTTTAAAGGGTTTAATGAGCGCTCTTCCAGCAGGGTCGTTCACGTGCAGCCATACCTTTTGGGCTAGTTTCTTGATAAGCTCTGGAGTTTTGCTAAGCTTTTTTTCTTCAATTATGTGCCAAGCTGGATTTAATTGAATTTGCTGGCAGTCAAACTGTAAGATAACACTGTAAATGAGATCTTGAGCTATGTGGGAAATGTGAATCAAGAAAAAATTCATGTGCTGGGGTTAGCTATCGTTGATAAGCACAAAACAAAGGGCAAACGTTGCTGACTCAGCTAAGGCAACTTAATCGGGTATGGAAGCTACTAAGAAACGATAGATTCAGAGCTCCAGCAAGCATAAATTTCCATAACAATTTCTAGTAAATGTTTGCTTCAGGTCATCATCAGACTGAAATAATAAGTAGATAATTCTTCATAGACTTCGTTTTCGGCTTAAAAGTAATTTACAAGAAATCAAATATCAGGCTGAAGAACACTCTCATTCGTTAAGCTTTTCTACAACATTTTGTGGCTGATATCCAATACCTATTGGAGTCATAAGGTGGAGCACAGACCTACAGCCAGCCACAGTCCAGTTAGGCAAAGAGTTTGCATTCACTTTAGTTTGCTGCATATGAAATATATATCATAA